CAATCGCAAATATTTCGACTTCTTTTTCAAATAAATGGATATTTTTTACCAAAAGCAAGGCAAACGAACAAACTTTAAGATGATACCACTAACCCCATATGCCCAAAATATGACGAGGGCCTGATTCCACTTCGTCGTGCCACCGAAAATATCTTCTGTGCATGTATCAGAACAGACGTCTCTTGGGTGAGAAGCCTTGTGGGTGGTTGGCGGGTGCTCTGGTGTGATTTGTTTCTTCTTCTCTATGAAACATCTATCGTCCTTATCTCCCCTTCCTCTTTTTATGTTTGTTACTCTCTTGTAACACCCCTAATCTTCTGGCGCTCACGTGACCTTCTGCAGTAGCAAGCACCGTAAAACCTCTATTAAAACTAAACTAAACTAATGAGAAGCCTTGGCTCTAACCAATAAGTCCTTGACGCCCTGAGAGTACTGGTCGAGATTTCATTAGTATGAATTCAGTTCAAGATGGTAACAAACAAGCTGAGGTGGTTGGCTACTGTTTTAGTTTAGTTTAGTTTTAGTAGAGGTTTTTACGGCGCTCGCAACTGCATAAGGTCATATGAGCGCCAGAAGATTAGAGGTGTTACAAGAGAGTAACAAACATTTAAAAGAATGAGGGGAGATAGGGAAGATAGATATTTGATAGGAAAGAAGAAGCAAACCACACCAGAGCACCCGCCAACCACCCACAGCTACTGTTTGATTGAATTTCATTCCAGGGTACTTGAAATGAGAATGAGAAAGTTTGAAACTATATGCATTTTATCATCAAGGCTAAAATGTGAGTGAACAAAGGAGGTATTGTAGAAGCATTGATGCTCACTAGAGACACAAACAAATCAACTTTAGAGTTAATTACACACCAACAACGTTTGGTCTATCAACCTTTGAAATGATCGTTTTTAAGGACAAGAGGGGTAACCCAGATTTCCGGGGTTTACAGAAATCTTGACCTACATCAAAAGTGGGCATTGCCCTACTTATAGGAGAAGTTTGGTTTCATTGGTGTGTGTATATTTGTTTGGTTATAGAGAAAACTCTCCTTGTCTTTTAAATACATGTAAACTGAACAAGGGGCAAAAACTTTACCTTCGATTTTCTCAAAACAGAAATTTTCGTTATAGCCCCCTTGAGCTTAAAAGCGACCAAATGTACGTAGATTAACGTAACGAGACACATGACCAGCACAGAGCTACAAGAAAGGGCATGTGTTCCCACGGTAACATTCCTTTATCATACAACTCCGACTCAGAATTTCCCAACACCTTCACCGATTGGAAGATACAGCCACGAGACACTGCGGGGCGTTGTGTATTTGAAGGCGCGAGACGCTTAGTAACATTTCGATAAAAAAAAAAACTGCTGTTTGTTTTTTGGAAGGGCGTGAATTTTATGCATAGGGGCAAGCAATACAATGGGGGATCATAACGAGAGAGAGAGAGAGAGAGAGAGAGAGAGAGAGAGAGAGAGAGAGAGAGAGAGAGAGAGAGAGAGAGAGAGAGAATTCAGTTCAAGATGGTAACAAACAAGCTGAGGTGGTTGGCTACTGTTTTAGTTTAGTTTAGTTTTAGTAGAGGTTTTTACGGCGCTCGCAACTGCATAAGGTCATATGAGCGCCAGAAGATTAGAGGTGTTACAAGAGAGTAACAAACATTTAAAAGAATGAGGGGAGATAGGGAAGATAGATATTTGATAGGAAAGAAGAAGCAAACCACACCAGAGCACCCGCCAACCACCCACAGCTACTGTTTGATTGAATTTCATTCCAGGGTACTTGAAATGAGAATGAGAAAGTTTGAAACTATATGCATTTTATCATCAAGGCTAAAATGTGAGTGAACAAAGGAGGTATTGTAGAAGCATTGATGCTCACTAGAGACACAAACAAATCAACTTTAGAGTTAATTACACACCAACAACGTTTGGTCTATCAACCTTTGAAATGATCGTTTTTAAGGACAAGAGGGGTAACCCAGATTTCCGGGGTTTACAGAAATCTTGACCTACATCAAAAGTGGGCATTGCCCTACTTATAGGAGAAGTTTGGTTTCATTGGTGTGTGTATATTTGTTTGGTTATAGAGAAAACTCTCCTTGTCTTTTAAATACATGTAAACCGAACAAGGGGCAAAAACTTTACCTTCGATTTTCTCAAAACAGAAATTTTCGTTATAGCCCCCTTGAGCTTAAAAGCGACCAAATGTACGTAGATTAACGTAACGAGACACATGACCAGCACAGAGCTACAAGAAAGGGCATGTGTTCCCACGGTAACATTCCTTATTCATACAACTCCGACTCAGAATTTCCCAACACCTTCACCGATTGGAAGATACAGCCACGAGACACTGCGGGGCGTTGTGTATTTGAAGGCGCGAGACGCTTAGTAACATTTCGATAAAAAAAACTGCTGTTTGTTTTTTGGAAGGGCGTGAATTTTATGCATAGGGGCAAGCAATACAATGGGGGATCATAGCGAGAGAGAGAGAGAGAGAGAGAGAGAGAGAGAGAGAGAGAGAGAGAGAGAGAGAACTCTCCCTGCTGAACAGAAAAAAACACTCATTGTGCACAGTAAGCCCATTCCCACTGCGCCCCTTTCACCTTCCATCCCCCTCCCCTCGACCCCCTAATCCCATACCTATTCTTGTTGTTGTTTATGATTACCCTCGCTGCTGGAAACAATAAATGGATCTTCATTATACTTGGTAATTTCCCAATCCTCCCCCCAAGCCCCAAGCCCCGCCCCCTCTCCTGTCCCCTACCAACCTAGCCCCAGCCCCTTAACCCTATCCGTACGTTGTGTTTTACCAGTGAGTTGGTTTTACTATCGTATCCATACGACGTGGGGAACTGTGTGCCACCACTTAAGCACCGCAATCCCTTCCGCCTGCCCCCCCCCTTTCCACTCTACCCCAACTATTTGCTTCGCCTTCATTTGAACGTTTGCTCCCAAAGTCTCAGTACCACTAACCTGTAGTCATAGCCCAAGAAAGAAAGGCACAGAAGATCTGTCCAGAAGTAGAAGATAGAAGACTTTAAAATCATTTGAGAAGAACCACAAAGAAAAAAGGAAAAAGAAAATGACCAAAATGGCGCCATCCGTGCTGGGCTTTTCAGAGATTCGGTCACGTAGGCCTGAAGAAAGTAGAACAGAACACCTCACTCAAAGCAAATTGCGAGACAAAAACGCATTAAATTATACAACGGACCATCAGTGTTGTTCGGCGGTACGCACAGAGCGATTTACTTTCATAATGACCGCCGCGCGGATGTTTTATTTATACAGATCAGTCACTCGGGAATAGAATGCAAACAACCAGTCTGGGGTATGGCAAAACAGCACGAAAGCTAAACCCGAGGAAACCACAAGAATCATCAAGAGGAACTGGCCAGCCTACTTCCAGACGCCCCGGACAGATAATGGGATTATGTGATCAGAATTATAGTATCTTTACCAGCTGAAGACCAAGAGAAAGAGAGAAGAGGCTCTAGTGAGGTATATGAATTATAAAGCAGGGGCAAGAGAAAGAAGAGGAGGGACAGAGAGTAGAGGAAGGTATTAAGGAGAAAGAGTGAACCGGATAAAGGGAGAGAGGGAGGAAGAGAGCGAGAGAGAGAGAGAGAGAGAGAGAGAGAGAGAGAGAGAGAGAGAGAAGGTGCAATAGATGGATATAATAATATATAATTTAAGATACACACAGAGAAAGAGACAGACAGACAGACAGACTGACAGAAAATTAGACAGACAGACAGACAGAGAGAGAGAGAGAGGGAGAGAGAGAGACAGACAGAGAG